GCCGGGAAGGATTAAGGGCACTGAAGCATACATGTTTACAAACACTCGGTCACTAACCAGCCGCGGCAGGCACAACCATGGCGCGGACGAGGACAGACGTTTTTGACGTTGGAGGGTCACACGTTTTTGTTTTTGCATTTATACGGTTTAGGGACACGTTTAGGTTTTATGGTCTAGGCATGTGCTTGTCAAAGTTTGTTCGGGTTTGGGGGTTGGCCGAGGATTTTCCAAAAAAGTCCAAAAAAAGGTACCCTAGGCGTAGGTCCACTGCACCGCGAACCGACAAGATGTGGGCGAAGATGACTGGTGGAGTGGTCGCGCCGCCCCCACGCCACAAGTGAGGTAGCGAAGATTTGTGTGGTGCCGCGCAATTCTTTGGCTATCAACGCCATCTTCCGGCAGACTTTCCGTCCAGGGGCTTGCATTCCTGATGCTCGCTCCACACGAGAACCTCTCGGGGAATCTGTTTTGCAGCACATTTCCCCAAGCATCCGTCGTGTCCGTTCAAGCCATTGCAACCACAATAACAACAGCACACCTGAGCCATCAACTTGAACCCGAGACACTATTTAGGGTTTTAGGGTTTAGGATTTAGGGTTCAGGGTTTAGGGTTTCATGAAGGGTGCTTCTTTGTGAAACGTCATCGTGAGTATCTAGGGTTCATTCGAGGGTAATTGCGGGGTTTAGGCAAACCCAATCCCTAATTCGAAAAAGCAAGCCCCAAACCGAAGGCCCTGTCCCCTTCAAGGCGGCAGGTGGCTGCAAACGTCGGTGTCTCTCCTTCTCCCAAGCCCTTAGCTGATGAATGTCAACCGCCAAGTTGCGTTAAGGGTTTAGGGTTTACCTAGAGGCTCTCACACCCTACCCCCCGCCTTTTATTTAGGGTACCTACTTTTCTCCATAGCAGATCCTAGCTGAAGAACTCGGTACCCTTAAAACAGGGGGGTAGGGTATGAGCCTGCAGGTATTGTTTAGGGGCTCTGAGAAGCTCTGGGGCCGGTTCATTTTCCAAAAAGGGCAGGACAACAGTGGAGCCACCAAAGCTGGCTTTAGGGTTTAGGGTTTGGGGTTTAGGATTTAGGGTTTGGGGCCTAGGGTTAAAGTAAGATGGTGCGGAAGTCACCAAATCCGAAGCCTTATCCCCAAATGCTTTAAGCTATGAGCGGGCATGCCGGATAAACCCTAAACCCCCTGAGCACTGAGCCCCACGCTTTCAACCTTAAACCCTGAACCGTAAAACCCAGTGTAAACCTAAACCCTAAACTCTAAGCTTACAAGATCCGTAGAGCCTATAGAGGTCGGAACGATTACTAATACGGTTTAGGGTTTGGGGTTTAGGGTTTAGGGTTGATGATATAAATCCTGCATTACCCATAGTAAGGAATTTATCGTAATTCCCATAGCTTAGGGTCCTTCAGGTAATGCAGGATTTATATCTTCAACCGTAGTACCTCCTTATAGTTCCATTATAAACATAGGAAAATATTCCCCAACACTCTTCCCCGATTGCTTAGGCCGTTATATTGCCACTCCTAGGTAGGACTAGGGAGACCCCTTAAACGGGACCCTTCTGAACCCTACTTGTGGCTCTCTTAAAGGGGACCTTATTGAGAGGGGTCTATATCCCCAAGGGTCCCCCTAATCCCAACCCCTATACCACGTCTCAAGGACCCGTGGTCGCCGCCAAAGGGCTCTGGAACCGCGCGAAGCGTGCTTATGTGGAGGACTTTAAGCCAACCTAAACCCGAAACCCGAGCATGCAGACCGAAAGCCCTAAGCCCTAAACCCCAAACCCTCAGATCCGGATTGTGTTCCAACAGCACGAAGCCCGAATCTTTGCAAGGCAGCAAGGTTCAAGGTTCAGGTGTTCTTCCGAAGGAGTTGTCTGCGTCATTTGGGCATGCAGGCACACGACCTGGGTTTAGGGTTAAACCCTAAACATAAAACCCTAAACATTAAACCCTAAACCCTAAACCCTAAGGTAAGCGTTTATCGGGTTTAGGGAATGCTGCCCTCGAAACCTTCAGCATTAAACTCGCAACCCCCGCAAGCAGAATGATGAGCCCGGGATGGATACTCCAGCCCTTCTTGAACAAGGATTAATTAGGGTTTAGGGTTTAGGGTTTACAATGGTGATCCTGATGTTGTGGTCCTTGAAGAAAATCGATCAGGGGTCGAATGTAGAAGCCTCAGAAACTACAAAACTATTATTCTTGCGGGCTCCTGAACAAAAAGTATACTGTAATACACCATGAAGGCCCCTATATACTATGGCACCCTTCTGCTATCCCTTTTGGAAGTCCCTAACAGAAAAGGAAGCCCTGTTCAAACCCTCAAGGCCTCCATACTAGATCAAGCCTTAATCCTTTTGCCTGAGAGTGCTAGGGTTTAGGATGTATTATCAGAAACCCTAAACCCTCAACCCCAACACCTTAAACTGCAAACCCTATTAGGGTTTAAATTTCGGAGTTTGGGGGTGTAGGGTTTATAAACCCTAAAACCTAAACCTCTATAAACCCAAACCCCTAACCCCTATAAGCCCAGACCCCTAAACCCCTATAAAGCCCTAAATCCCTAAGCCCCCAACAAGCCCCAAACCCATAAACCCCTATAAACCCTAAACCCCTGGACCCCTAAACCCCTATAAACCCTATAAGCGTCACAGAGGCACTCTCTGGGGCCCATGGAGCCTCTGTTGTGTGTAAAGGCATGCCCCTAAGCCCTAAATCTATTAATAAACCTCGTGGCAGAGAGGATTGCGTGAGTCCTTTCCGCCATGCATCTTTGACCGACGACGGCCCGGGGGGGTTCAAGGTTTGAGGGCTGTATAGCTTCAAGACGCGGAGGACTTAATTCAGGGGTGAGGGGGCGAATTCTGGCTAGAGCGGTTACAGTCAGTTGCAGGATTCCGTTCATCAGTTTGCTCTCAATCTGCCTCGAGCCGAAAACCTGCGAACCCATGCATCATCACGTGCAGGCTTAGATCGGCTTGTTGGGTCTGAAGTGCATCCTGTTCATTGTACTTGTGAGGACGGCTGTTATACAAACTCAGTCTAGTCATAGGAACAAGCTGTATTCGGCGATACAGATTGAAGTGCTGATTGCCTGTTGAAGATGCATACATGATGAGGATGACGATGATGATGTTGATGATGATGATGATGATGATGATGATGCTGGCGCTGGTGCTGGTGCTGGTGCTGGTGCTGGTGCTGGTGCTGGTGCTGATGACGATGATGAGGTTCATGAAGACGGTGGCGATGATGATGATGATGATGATAACGTTGATGATAATGATGTTATTTTTAGATAAGGAGCCAGCCCTCTTCGCGAAACCTTGAGCATTGCGCGGCTTAAGGGAAGGAGAACCAAGTCCATCTGACTCCCATGGTCCTTAATTTTAAATCACGCGAGCGAACTGCCTAAGGCCCAAGGTCCCAAACCATGTGCTACTGTAGAGAGGTCGGAATGAGTAGGAATAGTTTACCTTTATCGTCCCGGTAGCAGTTGCACTAATTAATTTACCCTACAACCCTTTTCTACTTATTGAGGCCGCTATAGTAAGCCTGAAGACTTCCCCCAATTCGCCAGACTCCCCGCGCACCTTCGCGGGAACGCATTGGCTGACCGGTGGAAGGCCTGTTGTTCTTCAAAAACGGGTGGCTAGCCAAGGGCTTTAACGCAACAGATGGGTTTGAATACCTAAAGCCTCCTTTGTAGCACTAATTTGTGCTACGTGTTTTTTTCGCTCGGGATGAAGCAAAAACGTAGCAATTAAGAAAAAGTGCACGAATACCCCCAAAAGCGCTCGAGGCTAAAGCTTTAGGGGCCCAACCCTGAATGATGTTGGATGGGTGGTGCTGCAATACACGATTTGGTCGTTAATATTTGGGGTTTGGGCTTAGCCTTGGTCGGGGTGCACACACAAACATACAAGCCTGCATGTACACCTCTTCTTCACCGTGGATCGATCTTTTTGGCCGGGCACTCAGACAGGCATGTCGAATCTTTCCTGAAACAGCCTTCGGTAAACCATAAGCTCACGAGTCATTGTTCGTAAGGCAACGAGTCTTGAGGATCCGATTCGTCGCGAAACTCGACTCACCTTGCCCACCATATCCTCATCATTCCAAGTAGCAAAGCCTCGGATACTCGGATACTCGGTGAGCACTTATGTACGATCCCGGCTAGCAATCGTTCGCTGAATCCGAGTGGCAGATAGCATTGAGACAGACTTGGGGTGAGGAAGGCTTGGCAATTGCATGTCGGATCTGTCTCTCCATGTTTCGCCTCGGTCTGAATGTAGGATTACATTGGCTGATGCGGGCAATTTACTGTGGTTAGACTCATAATTGCTTGACCTCAAATGCCTGCCAAGCAGCAGTATATGACCGAACAAATGAAGCTTGGGGCGAATCTTATACAAGGGCCACCCCTGTTCTGCACACCACCTGGCCATTCCAGTGTAGCCTTCCTGAGTGCAATGCAGTACATCTATTTAATATGGTAGGATGCATTACTGCAGGGCTGCTAATGCTTCCATGCAACGATAAAGTTCCATCCACACTGTATCGGAGGTTTTGCATCTTCGATCGGCATCCAAACCCCGTGGCTGTAAAGGACAGTCATCATATCATTCCCTTCTGAAAGTAGCCACAGGAGTAGCTGCAAGCCTTCATTCATATCCTAAGGTTGTGAGACCCAGTAGCCCAAGAGACCCCAGAGTTTAAGAGACTTGTTTGTAGAAAAAGTAAAACAAAACAGGTTTCTTATATGCCTTCCGAAATCATCCCCTTGGTCATCCTTGATCTCACGAAGCTTTGTCGCCAACCACTTGCACAATAAGGCCACATCATAGGCCTTCCCACATCCACTTGGGAACTGCCGCAACCTGAGAGACTACTGGTTCGTTGGTCGGGTTTGTCAAGTCAAGAAGTTTGGGTGATGAGGTTCGCAGGTTAGGGTTTTCGGGATTTGAGTTCCAGGGTGGTGAATATGGCTTAGGCACGGATTTGAAATTTAGGGGCGAACCCACAGCCAGGCTGCGAGGTCACCTTGAATGTCTTCAGCTCGAAGCATTTCAAACTCGAAGTCTTCCCACTCTGCCGGCACCAGCTGTGAAATTGGTTGTAAGCATCATCTAGTTGGGTCTTGATCGAAGACCCAGGGAACTCACCAAGGCAACAGAGCAGCAAAATGGAGCTTGCACATAAATCTTTGCCGAATCCTAAATTCATGCAATGCATGATATCGGGTTGAATTCGGTTTGGATTCGCTCCTCCTGGTACGGACCTCAATGGCGAAAATTTCCGTTTGAACGGGCTCGGGTTTGCACCCTCATACGTACGAAGCTGTGATGCTGGCCCACAATCCCACCATTCCTCTAGCAGCAATGTTTGCTAGCTCGCAAAGACTTAACAAGCTATATATATATATATCTATCATAATACAAAATCAGTCTACCCATCTTGACCAAGAGTCATCCCCCGGACATAAGTGGCATATGCGAGTCGAAGCAAACCCGGTTTGCAAATGATATGCTTTGCGAACATACGGCCAGTCGCCTTTCGTGGCAATCAAGGCCACGAAGACGGTGATCTGCTTGTCGCCGACCTCAGCAGCACTGGGAGGGCTGTGCATTTGGGTTCAGGGTGTAAGGTTCGACAGGAGGGATGTATGGTTTATGGATACATGTATTAAATCAGTAGCTAGGACTACGAGGTAGGGCTTGGGGTTTACAGGGTTCGGGATCGCTAAATAAAATAGCTCTAGCCGCCTGCACAGTCAAACCATTCTCGAAGAGCTCAATCAGTTCTTCAGCAATCGCAGAGTGAATCCCATCAATCGTTATGTCGTTCGGTGCATAACAGGATGCTGGCAGGATCGAGTGCAAAAGCCTCGTGGCGAAGCTGTGCCTTTGATGCTCGCGAAAGAAATTGAATTTGCTCTTGATGCACCATAACTAACAGGCATACACCAGCAAACCGTAAACAAGTACTCGCTGCGACGGGGCCCGTGAGTGTTCACATGATCTTCGCCCATCCAGGGCACCACACATTGAAAATTGGTGATCATTACAGGTACTTTGGCTAAGCCTCTTCCCTCATCCCCGTGCAGACACAGAGGAATCGTGTAGCATCGCTGGTTCACACTTTTGCGTGTATATATGTCGTGGCTGGGATCGGCAGATCGAAAGTTCGGCCAGAACCTCTCGAAGACTTTTGAGAAACCAGCGGTGTCCCATGTATGATGGCCAGCCAGCAGGAACTGCCCACCAGCTTCCCCCAAGATGAATTTCATCCAGTCGGAGAGGCGTAGGATAGGGTAATTCACATCCATGCATCCACCCCCTTTCTTGCGAATAGTCAAAGGTGTCGTGGAAATGGGGATCGGCAGTGTTTTACCCTCACGATGCACAAACCTATGCAAAGCCCGAGCAGCATTGTGGAATTTTCCTTTCCCCAGAACAGCAATGCGGTCGAGGTCCGGGTCGATCACACCTGCGGCACACGACTAGGCTAATTATCCTTTATGGGCCTAAGCTTGGGCTTCGGTTTCTTGGCTGTGTTCACTGGATAGATGTGGAATAGCTAGGATGTAGGGATGGGGTGTAGGGCTAGGTTTAAGGTTCTGTACTACTTAAATAGGTATGATGTATCATCTTCGGCATTGGGTTTGTAGATTCTCGAGTTCGTGATGTGGAGCTTTAGCTTCGTACTAGGGTTCATGGGTGTCTCGATACCATCACAACTGCCGGGGTTTCACGGCTGGACTTAACCATTGAAGGTTTTAAACATTGGCTATGATATAGCTACTAAATATAAAGGAAAGGTTGCTAGAGTTTGGCGGTTTTGGGCTTTTGTCGGGATACCGGAATAGGGAAAACAGCCCCTGCCTAATTTCCTCATTCTCCTCGAAGCAATACCAGCCACCCGAACGACGGACTTTGCATTTGCCTCGTATGTGTGGTGATGAGATGAATCGCGAATCCTGTGCGTGTGCGTGTGCGTGTGCGTGTGCGTGTGCGTGTGTGTGTGTGTGTGTCTGCTTGCATGCCGAGGAGCCCCTCCCTCCATATCCATCATCAAAGCATCAGCCAGATCATCATCGGAATCGGAATGAAATCCTTAGGAAGCAACAAACAAAGTGGGACAGGGCTTCCCAAACCCCTGAAGCCTTAAAGCCAGCCCTATAAACCCTAGGCCCTAAACCTTAAGCCCGAATCTGAATGAGGCATGGACTCTCGGGAGAAGAGGATTCCTCGTCTGCAGTTGCAAGGAGGCCTGCGTGGGGCGAATATGCAACAAGAACTTGGGGTTTAAATTGCTTTGAACACAAGAGCTGGGCAATGGTACTTCAGCATCTCTCTCTTTCTCTTCACAGCTTGAGACTATAACATTTGGAGAGCTGGAGAGATTCTTGCGATCTCTCAAAACCTTGCGGGAAGGTGCCTCGCCAGACGTGCCAGTGCAGCACATGTCAGCACTATGAGCAACATGCTAGGAACATACTGCACTCGCTAGCTGCTACACTGCCGGGCTGCAAGGCTTCTACCCGTGCAATTCACCAAACGATTGCACATACCGAGAACTAAAGGGCCATAGGACTCGATCAGGACCGCTTCTTCTTCCTGTCCTTCTTGTCATCCGTCTCATGTTTCGCCTTGCTTTTGTGGCTCGTCGACTTGGGATCTTCATCACCCGACTTGTCTGCCTTCGGCGAGGGTGTCTTGCCATGGTTTGCCTTCTTGGGTTTTTTCTCCTTCTTGGGTTTTTTCCTGATGGATGTGGCACCACCACCACCACCACCACCACCAAGATTGGTGCTGCTAGGCTTGAAGCTCCTAAGTTGTACTGAGAACAATCCAAGGAGCGACCAGACCCGATCATGTTTGTGATGCGACCAATTGTGCCCAAGACTCCTGGCCCTGGCAATGTAATTATTCAAGGTGACATCGTGCTTCGTGCAATCCACCAAGCATTTCATGATGTCCTTCTTGAGCTGCGGGGTCTTCCTAGGTTGCGACACTCTGCGTGCAACAATCCTCGTGCCTTGATTCTGAAGTTCATCCTTTTAGGAAAACCAAGACTCGCCCCATCCATGTCTGTCACAGCCTCGGCCTCCTTCTCGCTCATGCTCGTGTAGAGACTGTTCATGGCATCGAGGATGCTCTGCATGCGGTTTGCAATCCTGGGCCCAGTCATATAGAGGCTAAGGCAATATGTAAAAATACGTATATGCCTGACATTAATTAAGTCTAGCAGCTCCTTTGCCCGGGGATTCTCCATCTTCTTCAGCTTCTCCTCGCGAACACTAAGAAATACATGTATGCCTGACACTATACAATATGTGTCAAAGATATGTCCTGCTCGAGACACCCACTTTCAATCTTCTTCCCCAAGACAGAGAGGAATTCGGGGAGGATCGTCACGGGGTTATCGGTCTTCTGGATGGTCGGGAACACATACCTATAGGCCGAGAAAGTTTAGTGATCTTCCGAGCACATCTACAAAACATCATTTCCTGCACAGCTCCCTGATACGTGCATGACGAAGGACTTGCCCTTCGATGTGGCGTCGGCAGGCTTGTGGCTTACACCAGTGTTTTCGGCCAAGGGAACATCATCCTCCAGCATGTAGCCGTCTTCGTCCTGCAAGGCTGACTAAGACAAAACCCTGAATTCATCCAAACCCCAACCCCGAAACCCTAAACCCTAAGCTCGACCCTATAGATAAGCCGTACTTGGGATCAGATGGTTTGGAGGTTCTGGGATGGTTTACTTAAGGTCTGTATTGATGGCCACGATATTACTCATACTAAGATTGTTGTTTATATCAGGGTTTTGCGGGGGAATCTGGGGCTAGCCTATATATTTCAGGGCTCAGCTTTGAGGGGCTTTGTGATTTGTGGTTGTTCTGTCCGGTTTAAGTCCTTGGGGTTAGGGTCCCTTGTTCAGGGCTTGGATTCGTGGGAGCTTGGTCCTCGACTTCGCCTTCGGCAGTCAGCGACTTCATGCTCCCTCGCTCACACCTGTTCGAGAACTTCTCCTCGAGAACCAATCGGGCCTCCTCGCATTTGTGCACCTCGTTCACCCGTAGAAGGTTTTTGCTTTTGGCCCAGGCAAACGAATTGTCGGCCATTTGCCTCGGTTACATAGCAGAAGCCAGAGCATGGAACTAGCGAAGGTACCCAGCACAGCTCGAGCAAGCGATGCAGAAACTAATGCAACTAAAGCTACTTCGTGTAGTGCATCTTCTCAATCAAGAACTGCTTTGTCACCCACTGGGCATTCTTCTCGTAAGCCTCGAGGTTCTTGACGTATTTCTGCACTAGCATGTCGATGGTTTTCCAACTGCTGTGCTTTTCGAAGAGTTCCCTCAGCTTCTTTCCTCGGATATTAGAAAGCAAACCCATGTAGATAGAAGACAGCCAGCTCCTGTGCAATAATTCAAATCCAAAGAGCTCCCGTCCTCAGTTTCGTAAAGAGACAATGCTTCCTTGGAAGCCTTGCATGGCCCACTCTGGGGCTTGAAGACCCGCCTCATCCTCAGATAGGCAAATTCTACTGTGCTACACAAACCCCAAAAAGGATGCATGTATGCATGTATGTATGTATGTATGTATGTAAGTACATGTCTATGTGTGCATGCATGTATATGTATGTACGTACTCTCGATCTCGAGTCGGAAGTCGAAGTGGAAGCGACCCCTCGATAGGCGGGTTTAGGGTTTAGGGGTTTAGGGGTGTGGGGTTTTGGGGAGTAGGGGGTCTAGGGGTGTAGGGTTTAGGGAGGGATTCAGGATTTCGGCTTGGCCAGGATTGGGGCACTATGTAGCTGCTATTGCAACTACATATATATGCCTGCATGTACATAAGACACTATATATATATATATAGTGTCTTATGTACATGCAGGCTTCTCTTGAGCCGTGGATCCTGTAGTAGGTCTTGTCGAACTTGGAACGGCAGTGCTTCGGCTTGTGGGAACGAGCAGCACCATGATTGCTCTTTGGAGTTCGGGCTCTGGGTTTTTTGCTAGCCGGGGAAGGGGTCTTGCAGCTTTTGGCAGCCGGCGAGCTGGGTTCTTCAGAAACCTCAACCTCAGACCCCGGAGAGCCACTCAAATTTGCCGACGATTCGGAAGCCTGCAACCTCTCAGGTGGACTCGGCTGTTCGGCACGTGGCCGAGGCATGGTGTTTGGGGTAGGAAGCCTCCAAGCACTATCGAAGCTATATCCTCGAACTCGGGCTTGTCCATTCTTGGGGCCAGGGTCTTCAGGCAAGGCTTTCGTGGGAACTTTGGGTGCAGAGGCTTCGGCTTCGGGGGCTGCCGGTCCTGCGGGAACTTTGGGTGCAGAGGCTTTGGCTTCCTCGGGGGCTACAGGTCCTGTGGGAACTTTGGGTGCAGAGGCTTTGGCTTCTTCGGGGGTTGCCGGTCCTGTGGGAAGTTTGGGTCCAGAGGCTTTGGCTTCCTTGGGGGCTGCTGGTCCTGTGGATGGAGCTTTGGGTTCAGAGGCTTTGGGTGCCCCTCCACGAGGCCCAGCACGGCGATCACCAGAACGGTCTGCTGATTCACCTGAATGACAGACCCAGCAAGAACCAAACCTAAAGTGCATGAAGTGCTTCTGAAGACCCCCATCCTATCCACGAACTTTCCAAGCAAGCCAAAAGAAAAGCACCTGAACTCGGAGGTGCAGATGATGATCTCGAGCCGACTTTCTGGTGTAAGGCGGCGATGCGGCGGCGGGTCTCCTCAGATTGGGTGATAGGTTTAAGGGCTTAGGCTTAGGGATAGGCTTGGGGTTGTAGGGCTTGACACGGGGTTTAGGGTTTAAAGCTCAGGGTTTAAGGTTTGGGGTCCCGATATAAATCGGGGCGAAGGCCTGGGGTGTGTGTGGCAGGAGCCCTACTCTTCGGGTTTCGAGTCAAGGACTATGACATAAGACAACCTCAATAATTATGGCACGATGTAATCGAAGCGATGAATTTGCTGTGACATGGGTGCGGTGTGATAGGATGTAAGGTACGACAATGATGATGTGATGCTGTGGTATGAGGTGATATGATATGACACCTTGTGATGCGATGTAATGTGATATGATATGATCATGATATGATAGATGATATATATATATATATAACATACGATATCGATCTAGTGTGAGACATGATATATATAACATATATTATATATATACACATACATATATATGTTTATATATATATATGTGTGTGTACATATATATATATTTATATTTATATATGTATATATGCATACATAAATTAGTAGTTAATTATACTATCAATAGAGAATAAATATAGAAGTATTGTATATCTACAGAAATATATTATATACATAGATATTGTACATATACATCCATAGGATATGATATATGAATATTGTATAGTCTCAGAATCAATAATGACTCCGAAGGAATTAGCAACCGAAAAAATCCACTGAAAGCCCTTTAAAGAAATGCGGCTGAACGACCTCAATCTG